GAACTTCAACTAAATTAGACCACGTAAAAATCGGAATTGATTTTTTAATTTGTGTCATCACTGATAGTAAACGAAATTTAAAAATGAAATCAAATCCTAAATTTGCGGTTCCCTTCACGACCACCAGGTTCAATCGTCCCTCAGTGCAAATACCTTTGCAATCACGGGTCACGCGGAAAACAAGCAAATGACGGATCTTCTGCCAGGCATCCTCAACCAACTCGGTCGGGACAGTCTTTTGCATTTGAGGCGCCTGGCTCATGGAAACAGTGGTGCTGGTCCACTAGATGGCAGCGCCGGAGGTGGGAAACACGCCGCACCGTCACAGACCGCGACATCTGGGGAACCCGGAGCGCATCACCACCATCGTCACCACCACCACCACCATCACCATCACATCAACAAGGAAGGCATCCTTGAAGAGGATGATGATGATGTCCCGGATTTAGTGGAGAACTTTGATGAAGCGAGCAAGTTGGAGGACAAGATCATTGATCACGCGAGTGAGTTTAATGAAAAGAAGATTACAATATTCTATTTGACCAATGTGCTTCTGTGCTAATTTGGATCCCCGTGAGTTTCGGAAATGTCCTTCAAATGAAAAATGACAATTCCATAGTTGGACTCTCTGTACACTGACAAATCTGATGAAGGCGTAAATAGAATAAAAATATAAATTCATCGTCTTGAAGACTAGAGGTGCAATTTTCAGTGCAATAATAATTTTATTAATTAGACCGAATAAATCCAAAACAAGTTCTGCTTTTTACCAAATCCCCTTTAGATGAATGAAAAATCTTTCATAGATCCACAACTCAAGTGTGTGAGTAAAATCTTATATCATTAGTGTCTGATCAGCAGCAACAAATAATCAGTAAATAAAGTATCAAGTACTGCAACCATTGTCCAATCATTAAAATTAATCTAGAAGAACTCGTACAGCATTTCTCATTTACTAAATAAGATGAATTTCAGAAAAATACACCTTTGGTACAGGTGAATTGAAAATAATGGAATAACTTTATTTCAATGTTTCATGAAAAGAAGCCAAATGCTGGACTGTTATCATAAGTAAATGCAAAATCTCCAAAAGATTATTAAACAATTTATAATCCAACAACTTTTTGCTCAGAAGAGCCCATAGCATTTCTGAATTAGGAAATAAGAGGAATTTTAGAACTTTTGTTACATTTGCATTGAAAATGGGGGATAACTTTAATGCAATGTTACATCAAAAGAACCTGAGTGGGAAGCCAAGTTCTGGACTGTGTACCAATGAGTAAATGCAGGATTCCCAAGAGAGCATAAAATATATCATAATACACAGTATTTGATTGCTTCAAATGTTTGATTACTTTTTCAGTTCCATCAGCTCTCATAAAAGAGCCAAGCACAGAAAATGAGCAACAGAAGCAAGCCACTGTTGAACCCTTAGTTCTTCCACAAGAGCCTGAAAAGGTAAAACCTATTGAAGAACTGAGCAAAGCATCAGAACCAAAGTCAGCAGAAGAGTCAGAACGTATACCAACATCTGTTGAACCAAAGAAAGATGCTGAATCAAAACCAGTTGACAAGCCACAACCTGCTGCTGCTGGTGATGCTCAAGGAAAAGCAGGCAAACACAAGAACAAGAAACAGCAACAGCAACAACAACAACAACAACAGCAGGAAAATCCCATGCAAGCCAACAAGCAGAATAAGAAATCCAAGGATAAGAAGTCTTCTGCTGAAGAACCAAAGCTTGTGGCACCAGCTGCAGTAGAAGAAACCCATGAGAATATTCCTACTGCAGCCCCTCCTTCAATCCTTCCAGAAAATGATGCCAAACCGGTTCAAGAAAAGGTACCACCAGCAACAACCAAACCTGAGTCTCATCAGCAAGGCAAGAAATCCAAGAACAAGCAACAAGCTCCACCTGTGGACTCAGTGGTACCTGCTGCTGCTGCACCAGCTCCACCAGCTCCAGAGATAAAATTAGCCCCAGAACCATCCAAAGCTGCTGACATACCTGCACCAGCAGTTCCTAGTCCATCAGTAGAAGTCAAAGAAGAAAAAGCTTTGCAACCACAAGCTACTGGCAAACCTTCTGATGTTCCCAGTGTCCCTCAACCACCACCAGAAATGAGAAAAAATGATGGTAAACCTGTGCAACCTCAAGCTGCTTTGCCTGCTGCTGCTGCTGCTACTGAGAAACAACCTGAACCAGAAGTACCACAAGCCATGTCCACTGCTGACTCTGTGCCACCACATGCTACAGGATTGCCTCCAACAGGTGCCATTGCCCCTCCAGCAGACGTTCTTAAAAAAGATGAAGGTAAACCTGTGGAACCACAAGTTGTTGTCATGCCTCCAGCAGCAGCAGCAGCAGGTCCTAGTGTCCCAGAAGTCAAAAAGGAGGAAAATAAACCTGTTCAACCACAGGCTGACAACAATAAACAACCATCTCCAGTGGCACCCAATCCTGAGACTGTGCCAGCAGGTGCTGCTGAAAAGCCCTCTGAGGCAGCAGTGACATCTACTGAATCCAATCCTGCACCAGCTAAACCTGCCCCAGAGCCTGAACAACAACAAGCTAACCAGGATACAGCACCTGCTGATGCCAAAACAAAGCAGCCACAGGCACCAAGTAAAACTGCCCCTGCTCCTGGAGGAAGCAGCAGCAGCAGCAGCAAAAAGAAGAACAAGAACAAGAAACACTAGTTTGATAATCCTCCATTTATGACTTATGTCAAGGCATCATCGCATCATTGAGATCAACAGAAAATGATGCCCTTGAATCTGGGCACACAATTTCTTATTTCCTCATTGTATACAGTGGGTTTTTCTTGGCCAAGATATAATTGTTTTTTTTTTCTGGACGGTTAAAATTGATTTGAAGATGGCGGGGAAAAGAAAGGTAGATTATAATTAAATTGTGTTTAATTGTCGCATGAAGTTACCGTGAAAAATTAAAAAAAAATATATTCAACTTACCCGCAAAAATATGGTTGATTTAAATGTTTTACTCTTCAGACAACATTCTATACTCATCAAGAACCGGAAAAGTTTTCTTTGTTCCTTCTGCCTTCAAGTCTCGCTTTTGAAAATTTATTTTTCATCAATTACTTTCTCGTGAACAATTTATAATTTGTTATTTATCATCCCAGCAAGTTCCTCACAATAGCGAAACTATCGAGCCTGTTTTTTTTGCTGCTAATCGCAGCGTATTTTCTTTCATCTTCTTGATATTTTTCAGTTATGGTTCTGATTTTTGTTCAATTTGCTGGGTGAAAAAAAATAAAATAAATACTCAGCAGTGCTGAAGGAAGAAATTGGCTGCGTGATGGAAAATCGGTTGTGCAAGAAGGAAAACAACATATGGTCAAGACGCGTGTTGAAAGAAGGGGGAAATGAAATGAGTTAAGAGTGGGATGATGATGATGAATAATGAGTGGATCAGTAAAAATATGACGTGTTCAAAAATGAGCTGGATGGTTAGCATTTCATTTATTTATTTTTTGGAGACTTCGATTTCCGACCGCGAAACCTTTACACAATATATATTCACTGGATCAGTGGCAGACATGCCCATTTTTCAAGACTTGGTAGGAAAAATTCGGGTGCTTATGTCAACTGTGGGTAAAAAGTTTTTTGTTGTTGGTGAAAACACGTTTTACTGTGCAATATCAAAATGTTTCAATGCTAGTGTTTTGAATTTAAACGACAGCCAGCATTAAAAACATGCAATAAAAAATGTAATTTAGAGAAAGCTCATTTGTGACTAAATTCTTAGATTTTTCTACAGGTGAACTCTCTCTGTGAAACTAAATTGAGACCAGGAAAAAAATTGGTTGTATAAAGATAATTTTGTGATTGACAACCCCTATAGCATGAGAGAGAAAAGAGGGTACTTTCCTGTTATCTCAGTACCTATTTTCTGTGCACCTACCAGAAACTGTGAATTTCATTTTTCTGCATTCTGCTGAAACTATTTTTGGGAGGTGTTTAGGTAAAGTTAGGTTAGGTCAGGTTATGTTAGTTACAAATATCTTTGAATTAACATAACCTGACCTAACCTAACTTTACCTAATAACCGCCTCCCAAAATCAGTTTCAGCAGAAACCCAAAGAAAGCAGAAACTGATTTTGGGAGGCAATTAGGTGAAGTTAGGTTAGGTCACGTTAAGTTAGTTACAAATACCTTTCAATTAACATAACCTGACCTAACCTAATTAATACTGAATTCACAAGACAAAGAAAAATGGGTACTGAGATAACAGGAAAGTACCAAAAAGAGAGAGAGCTATGGTACCAAAAAAATGCCTTATACAGTACAGAGGATATCTTAGTATACAAGATCATCATCATGGAGAGAGAGTCAACCTGAAATTGTAATTTCCAGAATATCATGGCCAGATTGGCCACTGAATATTACAGGGATTGTCATACACAGGAGTATGTGTAGAATTTGCGCAAATACAGTACAGTAAAGTAAACTATTAACCCTTCTCCGTGACACTGTGCGACATCTGTCTCTCCGTAGCATATGTATTCAATCCAATAATTAAAAACGAAAGATTTTCAGAAAAGTATATGGGAGTATTCCATCCAACTTTCAATACTAGCAGTCATTTTTTGCAAAAACCTCACAGTTGCCTTTAGAGATTTGTTAACATGTTTCAAGAAACTTTATTCTCCTCATGAAAAATAAATTCTCAATCCATTGAGAAAAATGTCACAATTTTGGTGTTCAGGGTTTATAAACTTAATAAAATCCGAAACACTTCTGTTAGATCCCCGGACCTTCAATTAATAATTGAGGGTTTGGCCAATCGACTGTTTGGCTAACTACAGTTTATTGTGAGTTATTTTCCATCTGCACATTATTTAACGAACCCATGAGCCACATTTCCTGGGAAATTGGCCATTGACGAGATTGGTGGCCAATATTTAAAAGGAGAAGAAAATTTGAAAAGTCTCATTCGAGTAAATGCAGAATCGGGAGATATATATAATTGAACATTTTGGGTGGTAAAGAAAAATGTATTTCATCTCCTCCTGGCGTAAGAATCACGTTTAGAAAGCCATAACAAAAACTCTACATTTTCTACCAGGTAAATTGTGCATATTCTTTCTTCATCTTCTTTTCGAGGTTGCGAAAATATTGCTTCGAAGGTGACTTTGTTTTAAAATATCGAATCACCAACAAACAAACAAAAAAGTTTCACGCCTTAAAACATAGTCAAGGCTTGCGAATATCCATCATCATCGTTTGAACGATTCGAGCTTCTCTTGGAATTTCTCTTTTTCTGGCCAGAATCTTCTTCTTCACTGCTGTTGCCATCATCATCATGATCATCTCCTCTCCGATTTCCTCTCATACCATGGCCATCACCGTGTCCACCACCTTTTGACCATTTTGGAGCATTGCAGGAACCATCGGGGCCACCACAACCACCGCAACTACACTGCGCCATCTTCGCGATGTAGAATTGACCGGTGAGAATATTATATTTGTTACGGTAGATGTCGCCTCCCACTAAACGAAAATGCCATGATTACGCGGGTGCATGTATGAAAAATACATGGTACAAAATACAGCGCAGTCATTATTTCATGCACAACACAAGAAAATGATGCACTTCAACATTTTCTAAAAAAAAATAAAGCGGTTGATTGAAAGTCTGGGGCTGTACTTCTGGCTTTTATACAGTATTTTTTCCCACACTCGATAATATGAGATAGAATTTAATTTCACTCGTTTTGATGACATAATTTGTTCCAGAAGACAGTGCAAAGAAATTATTGAATATGATGAAAGTCACTCCATGAATATCAGAAACCTTACTTTTCCGGGTTCTTTCATAATACATACAATTTTAAGTCGCGTGAGAAACTCAGCGAAAGATTTAAATTTATTTCTAGTGGTCAAATCTGCAAGGCTTTACCATGATCGGAAAACCGGAAGTGAGTCACACACTTGACTCTACTAATACGTCACCGTTTTTAAATTCTGTCGTATTGACATATTGTGAATGCAGTTTAATAAACTACTTGTGTGTAAAAAAGGTCATGCTATTCGTGAATTTTTAAAACTCATGAACTGCTGTATCTTTGATGCATTTTATAATTTGTATGCGGTGAACCCTAAAATGTACATTTTTTCTTGCTGATCGGAAATTTCATAAAATTTCCTTCTCCTTTCAACCTAAAAGTGTTTCAGGACGTATAAAGCAACGCTCAATCTCTACTAAAATATAATAGAAACTCCGGATGAGCATATTAAAAAAATGTCAAGCTAGAAGTTAATTCAAATAAACTTGATTCCTGGGTGGATTGATATTTCCTCATATGTTGAATTGATTTGATTTGGCCTTGATAGTTCATCAATCAGTAAAATGCTGCCGGTCAAAATTGAATTTAGGAGACTCGATGTCCGGTTTTTTTTGTTTTTTTTTCTTATCGACGACGACTTATTGACATCCCGAGTCGATCAGAAGCAAAAGTAATTTTGGAATATTTGGAATCCTTTTTTATCTCGTTTTGCATGATTATTTACTTACTTGAAAACCAAGTGCTGGGGATCATTTGAACGTCTCTCTCCTGCGTTGGAGGTTCATCGAAAATTTTGTGCTCTTTGATGATATCCAAAACTTCCTCAGGCGAAGCCCTCAGATCCATGGCGTGTTGAAGAAGAAAATTTTTGAGAACGATCCCAGCAACATTGAGACAATGAACGCGATCTGCATCTTCACTCTGCAATTTGCTGATGTCCATGCGATGACCCGCTGCCAAATCCGCCCAATCATTGTTGAAGTCTGCCCTTTGTAGCTGAAATTATTTAAAATTTTTCCCACGAAAAAATTCAGGTGTTTTTGCTAATATTTTTCCAATGGTTTTTTTTTTTTGCCCAACCGTTCTTCCGAGGTCAGTCATTTTCAAGAGAAGTTCTTGGTCCATTTTCAGTTCATCCAACAAACCAGTTGCGTAGTCTGCCAAGAAAATGGCATCACTTTGTCCGTAGGGATCTAATGATGCTTTTTCATCTCGAATTCCAAGCTGAAGGTATTCAAAAAGAGCGTAAAAAGATTCTATTTGGATCGGGCTTGATTGGCTTTCGTCGTACAAGTCCTTCCATTCCCTGTAAAAAATATTATGATCATAATTATAACTAATTGTAGATGCAGATTTCTGCAAAAAAGAGGTTTGGTTTGAATAATTATTCTTCATCAAGTCAAACAAAAAGTGCTGAATCAACCTCGTCAGCATCCACTTATTGGTGTAGGAACATTTTTCAACCTGTGGAAAGTGGATGAAAAGGAATTTACTTCTTGACAACTGACTGGTCTCACACTCACTAAATTGAAGCATGAACAGAACCTGCCACAAAAATGAAGCTGAAAATTCCTTTCTTACGGTTAATGATAAATATTTGGGCAAACATTTTTTGTCTGGACTAAATAAATACAATTCTTAAAAATAAAAAATATTTATTTTCATTTTATTCACAGTCAAAACATTAGTCCAGCAACAATTTAAAATAGACAAGTTTTAAGAGAGCCTCATTAAACGTACACAAGAAAGAAAGAAAATGCGTCACACTATTAACATGAGGTGACGTGAGAAGAGAAAATTCAAAACAAGGAAACAGCTGCAGGGAAAAAACCTTGTGCACTTCCTTGAGGCGAAGTGTAATTTGAAAATAGAGGTCCTCTAAACAAATATAAAGGTTTCCTGGATAACAAATTATTGAGGCACACATTTTCAATTACAAAAAAACCACCAAGAAGCATTTTATCCTAAACTAAAATTTGGAAAGCAATGAATCGATATGTTTGAAAATCCTTGGAGCAGTTGCTGGATGAATGTTTTGGGTTCAAAATCCAAATTAAATTTATAAAATCATCACTACAAAATGCGCTTGGGAATTCCAGCTGTTTACACACTTTGCAATTGGTCAATTTTGAAAAATCCGTCATTATTTGTCTTTTTGATCCGAGAGTGGAGCATAATTTTTCAATGTCTGAGTAAATAAATTAATTTTTTATTAAGAGTTATCCACCATGTTTGTGTTCCTCAAACAAAGACTTGTGAAAGTGACGCAAGAATTTTTTTTATAAATTCCTTGAACCGTTTTTCGATTGCAATATTTTCTTCCGCTTGCAAAAAAAAATAATAAATAAATAAAAACTCCGAGAAAGAGCGAAAATGTCATTATTTCACGGGAATATCCACAAAAATAAATTAGTGAGCCAAAATAGATAGATTGTAATTACCTCAAACGAGACGTGAAATGACCTCCGTTTTGAGGGTCGGAGAAAATATTTATTGAAAATGGACCATTTCCGGACACCAAACGTTGGATGAAGCCTTTGATTTCCGCAACTGTTTCTGGGTCCGTATCCGGGTCCAAGCTTCCTTCCCCATCATCAAACAGGATTGATCTGACAAATAATTGCACTTTTGACAACAGGTTGCTCCTCAGGGATCCCTTGGGTTGTCGGATGATGCACTGAAGAACTTTGCCCATTTTCTTCATGGGGCATTCGTCTGGACTGAATTTGGTGAAAAGATTGATGTTCACATCATGCAACCATCAAATAATACATCCATCTGAAATTGATCATTTTCTACGCCTGTTGGCACTTGGATATTTTTTTTATTTGGATTATGCCAACTCACTGGATTAGAAAAGTAAAGATGATGTTTCAAAATAAAGTTCATAATTTGGAAATATTTTACAGTAGGAGGTTCCACATGATGGGATGATCCACTTGGTAAGTGTTTTTTTCCCTCAAAATATTCCCATTCAAGCATTAAAGTCAATCTCTAATGAATCAATTTGAATAAGGAATATCAAACTATACACAAGCATTTTCAAGTTAAATTTTATTTTTAGGCCAAGTTCAGTTCTTTTCATTTTTTGACAGAAGCTAAAACAAATTTTTTTTCATTTTGTGTTTTGAAGAATAAGAAAAGTTTATTTGGTTTTATTTACTTTCTGTGCTTTGTATATTTACCTTCCGCTATCCTGAAGTGACTTGCAGGATTTCAGCATTCCACTGACATCCATTTCAAAGTCAATCATCCTCTCTGAAGAGTGTGCTGGAAACCTAATTGGTTGGCCATTGAGGAATCTGATTTTGTATTTTGGTTTCTGCTGATGCATGTCTCTCATAGCAGCACTTTTCCCACTGACTTTTGAATATTTTTCTCTGCCACCACCGGATTTATTACCTCCAGAACCATTGCTGTTGCCATTTTTCCCTTTGGAATTGTTACCACCCTTTGATCTTCCATTGTTTGAAGAGGAACCACCACTGCCACCATGGTTACTTTTTCCTGAACCTGAACCATTTTCATCACTGCTGTCATCAGTGGAGTATTCTTCATAATCAGTGTTTCCGCCATTATTGCCTTGATTGTTTTTGTTGCTGTTTCCATTATTGCCTTGATTATTCTTGTTATTTCCTTGGTTGTTGTTGTTGTTGTTGTTTCCATTGCTGCTAGTGTTGTTTCCTTGATTTCCTTGGTTGTTTTTGCCATTTTTGCTTCCATTATTACCCTGATTTTTATTTCCATTGCTGCTACTGTTGTTTCCTTGATTGCCTTGGTTATTTTTGTTTCCAGCATTGCTGTTATTGTTGTTGCCGCCATTGTTGTTTCCATTTTGTTGATTTTTGTCACTATTGTTTGAATTGTTGGAATCCGTGTTATTGCCACCTTGGTTGTTTTTCGAGCCACCTTGGTTATTTTTGTTGTCGTTGTTGTTGCTGGAATTTTCTTGACCGCTGCCACTTTTCCCGCGCGAACTTCCGCTTCTGCTTCCGGATCTACTCGAACTTCGCATTTGACCCATCCGGTTGTTGGTGCGTCCTGTTGTTGCTCGTCCGGTATTGAAATAGCCATTATTGCCGGAATTCATTGTTGCATTGACGTCTCCCGGATAATAATCCGACGAGTCTTCCTCGCTGCTGCTGTCATTGTTGTTATTGTCGTCATAATTAGTGGTTCCATTGTCCTGATCGTCAGAGGTGTTATTATCGTCATCATCGTCGTCATTGCCATGGTTTTTGCGACCTTTTGAACTATTTCGACTATTTTTTCTGCTGGACGAATCGCTGTCTCTGCCTCCTGATCCGCGATAGGAGTCCTGGTCACCATTAGATCTGTAGTCTTCGTTCATAGTCATGTGGCCATTATTGTTTTCTCCCATGTCGTGGTCATGCATCAGTTGATCATTCCTTGCACTAAAGAAAAAAAGGAATATTCTTTTTCAGATGTTCAGCATTCAACTAAACCTCATACAGAAACAAGCTGAAGACCTCGTGCTTTAAATTAAATTTTTGCGTATATTTTGTTACCAATGTCAGGGAATGAATGCTGGGTGTATGCATACATGTCAGATGTCCAGTTGTATTTGATGTTGTTTTGTATTTTATTTTATTTTTTGTTATCAATTTGTGCTTTTTTGCTCTGAAGAGATTATAAATTTCATTGAGTGGATTTGGGTTGGGTGCTGGGAAGGGGGTTTGGTTGTGGGAATCTTGATTGAACCTTGTGAATGCTGAAAAGCGGCAAATAAAGTGTTCTGTTCATTCATTCATTCATTCATTTTTCAGTTATTTGTGTATTTGTCTTGAGGGATAAGTATTCCTTCTGTTTTGAAGCTGTTCCTTCTGTTGATAAAAACTGATAAGTGCGTAATTAAATTTCACATCAAAAAAACTTACTGTTCGCTGAAGAGTGCGACGATTTCGTCGACGATTTCCCACAACAAAGGACATCGTTTGGACACGAGATTCTCCATCAAATCGGCGAAACCGGTCACAAACTCCATCAAGTTGTTCTTATTTTCAATGTAAACCTGCGGATTTGTGTTCTGATCCTACGAAAGATGCAACAAACCAGTGATTAGAATTATACAAGTACATGTAGCGTTTTTTTTCCGCGGGTTTGAAATCTACCGGGTATCTGTAGTTTTTGATGGTCTGACGCAGCATCCACAGAATATCAGAGAAATCGCTCAGAGCTGATGGCAAGGTTTTCATGATCGCACCATCCATTGAAGGTGCTTTGCATCTGGAAAAAGGAAAAATATGACAATTTTTTTATATAACAATAACAGTATTGCAAAAGGAAATATATTTTTAATAAACTCGAATTAAAACAGGAATAAATAAATGAATTGACGAGGAGACAGACAACGCAAAAGAAATTAATAACAAATCGTGGTCTATTATACAGTTGAACCTCTATATAAGACAAACTTCAAGGGATCAAGCGACAAATTTGAGTTAGGGAGGGTTTCGAGTATGGCCAAACATACATATTTATTAAGGGAAGAATAAAGAAATGCGTGAATTTATTGTATCATTTATGATATTTTGGGCCTTCAATTGCTTTTTGAATGAGTTGACAGGATGCTGAACATGGAGGCAAGGGTTCATTTGCCTAATTATTTGTTCAGTTCCTTATTCTGAAGCACATAAAGTTATATTTTTTGGCTTTATCTTTTTTATCTCAAAATAATAGCCAAAAGGCCTTCAAAAAAACTCGAGTTATGGTGGCTTGAAATGACAGCATTCAAGTTAGGGAGGTTTTTAATGCACAGTTTCTCAGGAAAATCAGATGCGATTTAAAAACAATTACACAGGGAAGTATACAGTAGTTGAACCTCTCTAAGTCAAATTTCAAGGGAACAGCAAAAAATCAACTTATGGAGGTTTTGACTCAGGGAGATTTTGAATTATAAAGGTTTGAGCTACAGTAAAAAGCCATTTTTTCTGTGAAACCTAGAAAAATTGCCCAAAATTGTGAACAGTGATATTCTGGTGCTTAAATGGCTTTTTAAATGAGTTGATACAGGAGGCTGAACTTGGAGGCAGGGGTTCATTTGCCCAATTCACTTCTTTTAAAACACATCAATTTATGTTTTTACTGCTTTTTCCTTTCTTGGTTCAAGAAAATAATGGCCAACAGGCCACAGAAAATTTGACTTATGTAGGTTTGAGGGGAAAAGCCTTAGAATTAGGAAGGTTTTTATATACTGGATTCAAATGAGGACCTTAAAAAAATTGACTTAGGGGGCTATTCAACTTTAGGGGGAGGTTTGAGTAATAGAGGTTCACCTGTACTATTATTTTACTATATAAGGGGGTTTTAGTACTTGAAATTCAACTGATGAATTAAACACTGCTACTTACTGCTGAGAAGCAATTAGCCGGTCAGTCAAGTCTTGCACCTCCATGTGCAAACCTTGAACAACTTGAGCCAAATGCCATGTTCCTGGTGATTTTGAGTCCATTGGCATAAATTCCTCTCCCTGGAAAAGACGATATTATGTTCAAGGATCCGAAAAACTTCTTCATACTGTACAGTGGATCACCACATTGCTTCATCGAAAAACGAATCTGCTTCACGAGGAATTTCGTCAAGGGAAAATTAATATCGCATATACATCCCTGAATGCATTGCATGAACAATTTGTAATAATGCATGATTTAGCAAAGAATCAAAATATTAAATTATTTTCGTTTCGTTTCCAAATACTGTATTTGTTTTTGGCCTTTTTTTAAATCAAGGCTGAACATTTTCATTATTCTATAAATATGCTCACATCGTAAGCAGTGTATTTGTATCCGCTCCTGAAGTCGCCAGAAACCAACAAGGCTTTTCTGCCTCCGTCGAAGTAATTTTGCACAACCCTGCACATTTTTCCAGGTGGACCATTTTGCATCATGTGACCAATACGGGGTGGCACTGAAAAGGTAATCCCATTCCAGATTTTTAAAATGTATTTTACGAGGAGTGCATCGGAAAAATACAAAATACAAAATATTCAAAATCAAATTATTTAAAAAGTTAAAAAACGTTGAACAATTTTTTTCGATTTGGGGTGTATACAGCAGTACAGCATTTATTTTCGATTCTTCCTCTGTATCGTCCTATGAAATGGCCAATTTTTAAAAATCTGAATAAATAGTTAGAATTTTCTCAAAGACTGAATAGGAGACTTTGAAATAATACTGTAATGTAATTCTTTTTCGAAAAATAAGAGGTGAGGTTCTGAATATACACAGCGATTTTTTTCCATAGTTTCCTGGGAATAAATAATAATAATATAATTGGCCTCATATTATTGACCTATTTCCAGAAAAAATAATAAAATACATATTTAATAAATAATGAGAATAATATGAATGCATTGCATATTTTAAAATGAAGAATCATTACTTGACATCAAGTCGCAGTTGAGCCACACAGGAATGATCACGTGATTGTTGGAATCGTTTTGTTCAGCCGAGAACAAAGGGGATTCCACGGAAAATATCATTGCAGCAGGTCCACAGGCTTCTCTTGATCTGAGAAACAACTTGCTGGTGTTCAATGAAACTTCTGCCCCAGATCTCAGGTCTGGAAAAAAATATACATTTAAAAGCATAAAACGTAATTCTAGAAGCAGTTCTTGTTATTTCCCGAGCCTTTCTGCATTTTTTTTTTCAAGCGAACATTTCGTGTTTCATTCATACATTGCATACCTGATGATCCGGACCCAGTGCTGTTTTCTATCAGTTCGTTACTGTGAATCAGGGAAATGTCCGTCGGCAACATCGTGTCACAGTCATTTGGTAACCTGTGGAATTATTTAAAAATTATAAACTTCTAAAATAATGAGGCGGAATGAATTTCTAAAGATGACTATAGTTTGGTCTATTTCGTCGATTGAATGCGATATATAGAGCTGGAAATCGGTGTCATCTGCATGATGCATGTGCTTTATTAGTATTGTATACATTTCTCGAAATTAGTCAATTATATTTTCATTGATTAAATGATGGATAAGTTTGCTCACGGTTGTCCAGATGCAGCCATCATCATCATGATAGCCAGCTTCTTTGAAGCGAAAGGTCGGATGAAAGCTCTAAGTTTTGGAGCAGATGAACCTGTCCGACCTCTCAAGGTGTCACGGCCATTATTTTTCAACTTCAGCTGCAACTCTGCAAAATTGACATGTACCGTATTTACTCAAGTTCCACGCCCACCTTTCTTCCAGCATTTAACCCTTGGGCAGCAAAGTTGGACTACTTTTGCAAAATTTTGTTTCATTAGCGAAAAAAATGACAACAGTGAGCTGAGGACAAAGTCTGGAAAACTCCAGATGTTTTTTTTTCTCTTTGCACAGAAAACTTTTGCAGAAAAATTTAAAAAATGCTATGTTAAGCAACAGGCTTTTCTTGGATTAATCCTGACTTTGCCTCAACCCACCTGGAAGGGCTTTTCTGTCCTTCAGAAAACTGAAAATGCCCCAGCATACAAAAATAATCCCATTACGGCAGGGAATGGGAAAGAACCCTCCGCTGTCCAAGGGTTAAGGCAGAAAAAAAGTGCACCTGGTACCCAGGGATACAAATTTGCAGGAAAAGTGTTTGAAAATCCTGCGTGTGGTATGCCGGTACATTAACCCTTGGGCAGCAAAGTTGGACTAATTTTGCAAAATTTTGTTGCACCTCAACAGAGAGGGGAAGAAAAAAAAGTCAACAGGGAGTCAGGGGCAAAGTTTGGAAAAATCCACATGTTTTTTTTTTCCCTGTGCGCAGAAAATTGTTGCGCCAAAATTATAAAAATGTTCAGTTAGGCTACTGGCTGTTCTTGGAATTATCCCAACTTTTCCTCAGCCCACCTGGAAGGGTTTTTCCTGACCATCACAACACTGATAATGCTAAAGGATACAAAAATAATCCAATTTTGGAGAACTTTTTTGAAAATTCTGCCCTTGGTTTGCCGGTACATTAACCCTCAGGCAGCAAAGTTGGACTATTTTTGCAAAATTTTGTTTCACCAAATCAGAGAGGGGAAGAAAAAAAGTCAACAGAGGGTTAAGGGCAAAGTTGGGAAAAAATCTGTGTTTTTTCCCTGTGCGCAGAAAATTGTTGCGCCAAAATTATAAAAATTTTCAGTTTGGCTACTGGCTTTTCTTGGAATTATCCCAACTTTGCCTCAGCCCACCTGGAAGGGTTTTCCTGACCATCATAAAAACTGAAAATGCTGGAGGATAAAAAAATAATCCAACTCTGTCCCACTATGGGAAAGAACCCTCCGCCATCCAGACATTAAAGAAAAACTTTCAAGAGGATATGCATGGCACCAAGTGTCATTGTTCATGGGAAATAATAGTTGAAGGGATAGCAATTTTAGGAATCAGTTTAAGATGCAACAGGAAGTGAAGGAGGCAGAAGAAATATTCCTATAATTGAGGGAGCTGCAAACAGTAAAAAGCAGGAAAAACAAAATGTCAATAGAGGAAACTGAATCCACACAAAAATTCACAATTCTTAAAGCTCAGCAACAACAAAATCGATTGCAACTTCGTGGCTCTGTTGCAATCGAATTGTATTGTATTCAATATCCTGGTTAATTCTGAGAATTCAAGCTTTAAAAAAAAGGAATGCTCCACCTGGCATTTGCTGAGAAATAGACATGGTTTCAGATACAACCAGATTCGGCACGGTTTCCTTCATTTCCTTAAGGCGCAACAACATCCCTATTTTCATGGCACTTATTTGCCCCATCATTTGGTTTTTGCGATTAGCCTCATTCATCTTCATCAGCATTTTCATTGCCAACATTGCCCTTGCATTCGGAGAATTCATTTGCTGAACCATGTGTATCTTCTGCAGTAGATCACCATCATCATGATGATCATCATCATCATCATCATCATCATGATCATCATCATGGCCGTGCTTGTTGCCATGATCCATGGTGTTCATGAAATTGTTTTGACGCTCGTTGAAGGCATTCAAGGCATTTGAAATCATAGTCTGATTAACGCCTCTGTCGGTCATGAAATTGTTGAGTGTGAGGAATACATTTGTTGCGTTGATTGGCGTGCTGAACCAGCTGGTGTTGGTCAAGCGTTGCGGAGAAACGGTTATTGTCAGGTCAACTGCAAAAAATAAAAATAAACAAAATGCAATAGAAAATTTGTGCGTCGAAATTAATTTAAAAATTAAGATGCTAATAAAATTGAATTGAATTAGGAATTGAAGGGATTCACTGCGTCTCTTATCGAGCTTTCAAGATTTTGAATGAGAGTGAGAGAATAATGCAGTAAGTACAATAAATTTCAATTAAAAATTTACACAATTTTTAAAAGGCCTCGACCTTGAGTAATTCTCATATCCCATCATGATTATTTGAGTTGATGACACGTACGTACTGTCGTTCATCATTACTAATATAAAAAATATCAGCAAAAAAGTTTATGACAGAACTTCCACCTTCCAAACTAAAGTTTGAATTATAAATTTTCAATTTCTCAATGAAATGAAAAAATTTGGCACCTGCGATCATCTCACAAAGTATAATACTGCATTGATGTTCTGGCAGTGTACAATTTTTAGAAAACGATACATTTATTGTCATCATCAATTCCTTTTTTCACAAATCAAATTGAACACCATCTTTTGGAAAATGAAGAAACAACTTTCCTTTTTTACTCTCATTCGTTCCCATAACGAATTGTTTGCATTGAACATTAGATTGAGTTTAAAATATGTCTTGTCTCATATGCTGAGAGATCAGATTTTTAAGTGACTTATTACAATTGATCTTATTTTCAACAACAGAATTTCTTTTTATTAATCTTTCAATTCATATTTGTGTGCATCGAATTTCCTTGAAAACATTTTGAAATGTGTGGCGATTTCGAAAAAAATGCAAAGACGAGCTTTTCTTTTCCATTCTCAAACATTATTCCAAAAAGTTCAACTCACATTAAAAATTGAATCGAGTGGTCAAATGTATTATGCCCTAGAAATAAATCTTATACAGCTTTATAGATTGCAATCATAATTTCATTTCTCGCTCTCTTTCTATCCACGTTGTAGTTTCTGAAAAAAAAATCCGTGATCGAGAGTTTATTCTTTATTATTATGCGTTTGATTTCATTCAAAAATATTCAGATTGTCATGCTGTCTTATTTTTTTATGAAATTGCGGCTCGGCATCCGCTGGTGCGCCATATTACAGTATTATTTACAACCACGCGATACATATACGCACCTGTAAAATACTGTACATTCACGCAGAATTTCTACTTCAAATTTCAAATTGGTGAATGACTGAATAAAATGACAAACCGTTTTCGTTGCAAGCCAGCGGCAGAGTCAAGTGAGCCACGTCCATCTCGCACTGCATCATTTCCTCGGCCGCGGAACCCGCCATGAGTTTGACAACGCCCAGTTTGACCTGTCTCGCCACCAGTCGGTCAGTGGGATTGAAGAACAACATTGGATCACTATCCTGTTCTTCCTCGCCGTCAGATTCTCGCATTTCTCCATTATTGGCATCCAAAAAGTCTTCGTACAACGTCGTCCTACGTAGAGGAGTCGTTGTTGTCTGGCCTCGTCGGGTCGTGGTTCTGGTTGTTGTCGGTGACGTTGACGTCAACCGAGTCGTGGTTCTCGTCGATGTCGTTGTAGACCTAGTCGTTGATGATGTTGGTCTGGTTGTGGTAGACGTGGGTCTAGTCGTGGTTCTAGTCGTGGTTGAAGTGGGTCTAGTTGTAGAGGTAGATCTGGTTGTAGAAGTAGAAACTGGTCTTGTGGTAGAAGTGGATGCGGGTCTGGTTGTGGAACCTGGTCTAGTGGTAGAGGCTGGTCTAGTTGTGGAAGAAGACACTGGTCTGGTAGAGGTAGTTGAAACTGGTCGGGTTGTGGTAGAAGAGACTGGTCTGGTTGACGACGCGGTAGATGTCGCACTTGTTGGACGAGCTTGAGAAAAGGAGAAAATTCAATTTCATTTATTTCAAAACGCCGCCGGGTACGGAAAAATTGAAACAAAATATTTTCAGTGCTGTTTGAAATTTCAAAATAAATCCGCTGAATTCAGAAAAATTCTACGTGTTTCCGTAATTTTATTTTTAAAGTTTTTTTCAAACATTCACTCTGAGTTACTTATTGGACAAGCTTTTGAACCAGAGAGGATTCAGCTTTTTTATTTCAAATATTTGAACGAGCTTGATAACAAGATGAAATTTAATGATTATTTATTTAAAAGTCCGCGCAATACCAAAAATTAAAACAATATTTTTTCAGTGCTGTTCGAAAGTCGTGAAAAACCTGCTTTATTCAGAAAAATTTTCAAACGGCTACAGCATTTCATTTTTAAAGTTGTTCGTCAAACATTCAGTCTGAGTCACTTTTTGAACAAGCTTTTGAACGAGAGAAAATTCAGCAGTTTTTAAATGTTTTTTCCTAACCCCCGCGGGCGATAAAAACAAATTTCGCGAATATTTATTCTTTGCGTTTTTTTTTTAAATCGTGAAAAACCTGCCGGCTTCGTAAAAATTTGCGAACGGGTTTAACTTTTTTTTACAGTTTTTCTTCAAACTTTCATTCCCAATGACTTGTTTTGTCAGCTTTTGGAAAAGAGGAAATTAAATTTCATCTTGAAAAAAGTGTGAGCAAATAAAGGCGTGTCCTACCTGACGTGCTGCTAACATTCGTAAATGGAGATCGTGAAGGAGAAGTAGATGTCGCTCCTGTAACCGTAGAAGAAGGTCTGAAGGTTGTGGCATTCGTGGAGGCAGAATTATTTCCGCTTCCGTCATTTGTCCCAGGCGTGGATTCATAATAAACCACAGCATGGAGCTCATAAAGACCACATTTGGAAAAGTCGCTGGATCGGAGGTTAACATCATTCACGTCAACGTTCATTTGAGATCCGATCGTCGCCGGAAAATCTGTGTGAAATAAATGTGAAAGTTGATAGCAATTCCTTTCGTTGACAAAAAATCAATTACGTATACTGTACATTGTACTTTAATTGATCATTTTTCTCTCTTTTAATAGTAAATTACACAACTCTATTTTGCGGCTTTTAAAAATAATAAATAAAGCAAATGGGTGACTAATCACAAAAGAACATTCACTTCAACAACTAATAAATGATGTCAAAACAATCATTTTACAGGATAATAATACAGGTGGAACCTTGCAATTTGACCCTAATCTGTTGCCAAACTAGGATCAAATTGCAAAGCAGTTTGACATTTTTTCCAGATTTTGAGGCAGAAAAAAGGGTGCGCCTGTTACCCATGGATACAATTTTTGAGTAGAACTTCTTGCAGAAAAACAGGGTTTGCGCTCAGGGGCGTGTGCATGTTACTTGAGTAAATAGGGTATGTCTTATTTTAAAATGCAAATGGTAGTTGAGGATTCATTTCTTACCTGATGTAGAAACAGTCCTGTTCACCACGAAGACTTTCCTTCTTTCCGGTAAAGTAGGATCCATGATGAACATCAGGACACGGTACGAGCCTTGGGTAGCATTCCTAGGGTTGATCCCAATGTTCTCAATGGTATAATTGAAATCGCATATCACATTCTTTAAAAAAAAACAGAATGAAGGAAAGAAGCAAGAATGAGAAAAAGGACTTCACTTTCCATCTCGAGAAATATTTCATGCTGACCTTGAAAGTTGGCGTGCTGACGTTGAAGTTCATCATCTGACCTGAACTCGAGTTTTTGCAGTCAAAGTTGGCAATTCCGACGAAATACGGCGCTTCGGCTTCGCTACGACAACCTATTTTTTAATGGGATTGAGAACAATATGTTTTTTTTCTTAAAAAACACAAGATTCGTTTTGAGTGAATTGCATTCGAACTTACCGTTGAGCTTTTCTGCATTCGTTATCATCGACGATAAAGCAACGAAAATAAAAGGAATCCCGTGGACGATCACTGCGTTCAACTTCATTTTTTCCGCTTTTTTTTTTTTCAAAATAACGCGGTGTTTGGGATTCTTTAGCAATTTTTTTCAAAATTCTGTATGACACCTAATGGTACATCATCTCTGAATATATTGACCAAGAATACAAACGTAGATTAGTTTGTTAAAAACAAGCAGGTTCTTTTTGTCTTGATCGCCATTTTGATGAATTTTCTGAAACGTTTCAGGTCGGGGTATCGTAATTTTTTGCTCACAGGAAAAAATCTAAAACGAGAAACTAAGTCAATAATTTTTGGACTATAACTGATTATTCATATTTTTTTCAAATATGTATTCCGTTATTCTTTTTCAACACTTGCTCATAGAAATCTGCAATTCATGACCAGAGAAAACTCTCGGCATAAAAGTTCATAAAAACTTTTTTCGATTTTTGAATAATTGATGCGATGAGAAATGTGTTCCAGCATGATTACTATACTGTAATCTCAAGATTTTTCTTGCATGAGAGATTAATGGCTTCAAATCTAACATTTTTGAAAATATCTTCAAGGAAAAATGCCACAGTTTTTCGGCGGCAGAAAATATCAAGATCTTTTTCCAGCTTTTCCTTGCATAAATAAATTCTTCACAGGCTGCTATTGTCGAATTATGGTAATCTGATTTTTTTCTTGATCTGCATACTTTTTAGACTTTGAAGGAGTGAAGCAATTAAAAACATGACATATTTGTAATGCATCTCGAAATTATACAAGAAAAACTATTTCTATAGCGATATATGTCGATTATGAATCGTTTTTTGCCCAGGTTTTTTGGAAATTTTCTTGGAATAATTTTTTTCGGAATATGTTATATAAGTTTAAAACAGAATACCTGCTGTAATTTCTACTGATCATGCACTTGTGCGTCTCGGTTAGCAAATTAACACCGGATATAAACTTCTGCAAAATATTCAGCTACTGCAAATGTCGCAGTATTGGCGGCCAAACTGCGACTGAGTCGAAGGTCGGGTCGACCGCGACGCGGAAGGGCTGAAATTACCTGAAAAGGCCTCACAATAATGGTTTTTTTCTTATATATATTTTTTCTGCACCAGTTCCCGTAGCTGCCAATCAATGGACCACCACAGTCTCACTCACTCAATCACTCGTTTTTCGTCAGCAACGGTGTATGAGAGCGAAAAAAAAATTATTTCAACAATTTATTCCTACGCTCAAACCTAGCAGATCTAATACAAAACAGTGTATATTCATCAGGCTTCTGAAAAAAATCCATAAAGTTCGGGTTGCCTTTGAATAAACTGAGGGTGAACTGTTTTACACTCAAAATGGGAATTTTTAATGCAATCTAGACGGATTTTAAATCATATTGTCAGTGGATGCGGATGCTTTTCGCTTTATTGAGCGCCTGATGTCCGCGTGAATCCTAAGTATCTTTCACTGTAACGTAGATGTCGCTCAAATTTAGTGCTTCAGATAAGTTCAAAATTGGCAGCTTTAGTGAGGTGATTTTTATAACACGTTATTTTCATTACATTTTGAGTCGAATTAATTGACATATGGCTTATGATCAGTCATGCCTATATATGTTCAGGCATTATTTGCTTCACATTTAGAGAGTTTACTCTGCTTGACACCCATCAAACTTTGAATGAAGTCCAGGTGCACAGTTCTATACCAAACATGGAGTTTTGAATTAGATTCATTCCAAGTGTACTATACATGTAAGCTGAAAATCAGGTCAGACTCGGATTTTTTTTTTTGCATACAAATCTCCAAGAATCTGAAGCATACTTCGCATTTCAAGCAACCAGTTTTGCCGGAGAATAACTTATGGTTCTCATACTCCGCTATCTAAAGAACTGATGAGCTGCTTCAGAGTATGGACAAAAACTATTCTTCAGGACCTCCTTTGTGTAGAATTCTTGGTAGTGCATTCCGAGAGGCGAAAAAAAAACATAGGTAAAAAAATAGAAGCTCATGATTATAGAAACTCATGATATTGAATAATTGAAAAATAGAAACTCATAATATTGATTTCCGATTTCAGAATGGAGGAGAAAGAAAAGCAACGTGCCGCCATGATGCAGCAACTTTTTTGTTTGTTTCCAACATCAATAACTAATTCCAGTTACGCTTTCCATATATTTCCTGAAAATAAAAATTAAATAAATAAATTTGGAAATTAATGACGAAGTGCATCGTCTCGTGCAAAAATTTGATCTTTTTGGAAAGAATGTACGATGTACTGTATTTCCACCGAACTTTTTTGAGTGAATTAACAAAGCCCACACGGCAGTGAATCAATCATCCTGTCAAATAAAATCTAAATTTGTTCGATACAGATTTCCCGCCGTATAATTCCGAATTGACCACATAAAATGCAAATAAAGGTTTCGATCGCTTGCTGAAAAAAATTGTCCAAACTTGAAGCTTCGGAAGTATATTATAGCAATCGTTTCCCATCCTGGTTTATACGTCTGATTGAATTCAGTTAAAACTTTACGAAAATATCTGCATGTACTGTGTACAGTACTGCATAGAAGGGCTTGCAAGTATCAATTTTCCAATTGTTCGTTTCCTCATAAAGCTGAAACATGGCACATGCATGCAGGTAAAAAAGCATTGCTTTTAAGCAATAAAGAGAAGGTGGAACATGATTAATGGCCATCAATAGTTCTTTAATATTTCATGTTTTTTATTCTCTCTACTGCTGGTGCCAGGCTGAAGGTTGCACCTTCTCACACCCGCTCATTTCCTACCCACCAACAACGGGTCCTTTTCCAAGAATACATCAACAGCACAAGAAGCTTAAAGGTCAGGTCTCGCTTTAATAGGTTTACGTTCGTAATGACTCTTTACACGTAGTCACTCAATAACTCTCCTTTACTGTTGAATACTTTGACCTTTGAAGCCGTCACATGTTGAATTTACGTGCAAAAAAGTTAACTTATATTAAGTTAGATTTGACGGAAGTATAATTTAAAATGAACTGCTTTGCGAAGAAATCGACACCATACATGCAGTAAGGTCCACGTCATAATTGCTGGGTTTGCCAAATTTTTTCTGCGACGTTTTACACACTATTTTCAAGAATGAATCTAATTTTCTAAAGGTAAAACATGTATATAGATATTGTGATGTACAATACTACACATTTTGGCTGAAATAAAATTTGCACTCAAATGGAATGCATCCATTTAAAAAAATAAAAACTGCATATTATAACAGCAGTTTAATATTGCATACGAAAAATTTACAAAAGCAAAGACAGAATCCTAAAATTTGTATTCATTTCAGTATATAGTACTTTTAATTCACAGTACAAATTGAATATACTTGGAATATTCCCTAAAAATGAGGTTTGAGAGGCTGTGGACAACTGGCCCAGGATTTTGCACTACATTTTCCCCTACACTACGCCCTTCATATACTCAACTTACAGGAAGATGTTTTTCTCAGACTTGTGCTGGTCTGTTGGTGAAAGGTGCAACTTACAATAAATAGTTCTAAAAATACTATAATTTGGCCTTATGTGTTGGGGCTGCTGTTGAAAGTTGCAACTAACCATCTATAATTACAAGATTACATGTAATCCCTTAGCTTTTGTACAAAGGGGGGGCTTTTGGCAAGGGCGCCTTTCCGAGGGGGGCTTTTGACCTGCGGGGGCTTTTGGACGGCAATCATTTTTACAAATGTCTTCCAGTGGTTTATATGCATGCATTAATCATGTCTTGCGTGTTGTTCGTATGGATTGAGCAAGATTTAGTCGAAACAAATTTAAATTCTGAAACTGGTATTTCTTGAAAAAAGCGGAATGTTTTGCGTTACATCACGGGCTTTTGCAAATTTGTTTTCTACAGAAAAGGCTTTTCACAATTTCTCTTTTTCGGTCTCCAACGGCATTTTCTCCAAGTCTGCTTTTTCTCCNATAAAAATTAAATAAATAAATTTGGAAATTAATGACGAAGTGCATCGTCTCGTGCAAAAATTTGATCTTTTTGGAAAGAATGTACGATGTACTGTATTTCCACCGAACTTTTTTGAGTGAATTAACAAAGCCCACACGGCAGTGAATCAATCATCCTGTCAAATAAAATCTAAATTTGTTCGATACAGATTTCCCGCCGTATAATTCCGAATTGACCACATAAAATGCAAATAAAGGTTTCGATCGCTTGCTGAAAAAAATTGTCCAAACTTGAAGCTTCGGAAGTATATTATAGCAATCGTTTCCCATCCTGGTTTATACGTCTGATTGAATTCAGTTAAAACTTTACGAAAATATCTGCATGTACTGTGTACAGTACTGCATAGAAGGGCTTGCAAGTATCAATTTTCCAATTGTTCGTTTCCTCATAAAGCTGAAACATGGCACATGCATGCAGGTAAAAAAGCATTGCTTTTAAGCAATAAAGAGAAGGTGGAACATGATTAATGGCCATCAATAGTTCTTTAATATTTCATGTTTTTTATTCTCTCTACTGCTGGTGCCAGGCTGAAGGTTGCACCTTCTCACACCCGCTCATTTCCTACCCACCAACAACGGGTCCTTTTCCAAGAATACATCAACAGCACAAGAAGCTTAAAGGTCAGGTCTCGCAAATTATCCAAATGCAAGCATTACTGAGAAATGTGCATCAGTGAGTTATTGAGAGGAAATGACAACTTATGAAACTGGAAACTTCGGCAGTGTACAACTTAAATGCACGTTTTTTCAATTGAATATAAGTTAGATTTGACGGAAGTATAATTTAAAATGAACTGCTTTGCGAAGAAATCGACACCATACATGCAGTAAGGTCCACGTCATAATTGCTGGGTTTGCCAAATTTTTTCTGCGACGCTTTTAGCAGAATTTTCAAGAATATTGATCATCACAGTCAAATCTCATTAGCTCAAGGTAAATAGGTATAGATATTGTGATGTACAATATTACAAATTTTGGCTGAAATAAAATTTGCATTCGAATGGAATGCATCCATTTTTTGAATAAAAACTGTATATAACAACAGCAGTTTAATACTGCATACGAAAAATTACATAAGCAAAGACAGAATCCTAAAATTTGTATTTATTTCAGTATAGAGTACATTTAATCCACTGTAAAAATTGAATATACTTGGAATAGTACCTAAAAATGAGGGTT